TTCCTATGATGTCCTACAACCTTCATAGGAAAACATCATTGAACCGATTCCTGTTTCTAAGAGCACATCTAGGACTGCCAGGCTTCTCTTACTTGTTTTCATCCCAATTGCATTGAAGAACCACTGATCCCCAGTATCGACAGTCACCTCTCATCCCTCAAGAGTGTTTGATGTGAATTGGTAGTGTGGGTTCCCTTTCCTAAGGAAGAAAAGGTAAAGCAAAACTCCCAAGAACCCAAGAGCCTCAAGAATCCACCTCTGCTCCTTTTTTTCCATTTTTTCATATATAATTGGGAAACGTAACATGAAACAAGGCAGAATGACTTGGTTCAACAAAAGTCATGGAAAGAGAAGTTTTTAATACAGTACTATAATAACTTGTGTCTTATCTGAAAATCTGTAGGCCATAATGGAAGGAATATCTTGATGTAATTAAGAATATATCAGTGTTATAATAAAATAGAATTTCTAAGATATTTTATCATAATTGTTTTATCATAATTATTTTCCATCAGAGCTGGGGAAGAGGGAGACCCTGTGCTTCTGTGGGGCTTCTACTTTCCTTTCTGTTACATCAGAGAGTGGAGGCACAGAGGCCTCAGAACGTTTTCTCCCAGTGAAGAAATGGTAAATATTTTCTCAGTGTAATATACTATGAAGGATACATTTTCACATCAAAATACCAAATTCATATTTGTGAACTGATACTGGCTACAAAATGTGAATTCACAATTAACAACAAGAAAGGAAATCTATGACACTAACGGCCAAGATCTTGAGCATAATCCCAAATGTACTTGGATCAGATGTACAACTTAAACGTGGCCCCAATGAGAATTGTAAGTACTGAATATTCTCTTACAATCGGCTGACATGTCATTGAATGAAGGCCAGGGGTGACTGATTCCCCAACTAAACGACCTCTCCCTCCTAAACTATGCTTTCCATAGTGGCTACATTTTGGGTTGTAAACATAATTATTTGTTTCCTATTGAAATAAGGACTTAGAAGAGTTAGGCAAGGAATGGCCTGAGGACAATATCTAACATGTTTTATAATCCTGTGTCAACATAGTGCTTTGCTTTTTTAGGAAAAGGTCAATTTTCACAACTCATTGGTGTGTATCTATAGTCCTTGTGTCAAACAAACAAAAAAGGGATTGGGGAGAAAGAAAAGATAAGCCCATTTTTATATATCACCATGTGTGCTGTCTTTTAGAAAAGCATCACAAACAGCAACTGCAGTCTAGTGGGATTATTTTTCAGCACTGGGGATGAAACCCAGGGTCTCACACATCCAGGCAGTGAGTCTATACTGGGCTACATTCCAACCTCTATTCCAGTCTTTGCAATTTTTCAAATCTTTGCTTTTCAAGTTGATAAGAGCCAATAACCTTTTGTTAAAGGAAGATGACAAGTTTGGGCATTCAAATGAAACATGATCCAAGGAGAAAACATATTCAATTATTTGACCTTCTGTGCTGCTTATAAAGGAAACAGGTATTTACAGCTCAACCTATTATCTAAAAAGAAAAGAAAAGAATGCATCGCAGGAAGCCCCCCTTTAAACAACAAGACAAAACAAATACATCCAATTGAAAACACACACACACACACACACACACACACACACACACACACACACACACACACACATTTTCCTAGGACAGGGATGTAGCTCACAGTAGAGGGCTTGCTTATAAGAACAAGGCCCTAGGCTCAATGCTCAGCTCTGTCTACAGCAAAATTTCATTTTCCTATAGTCAATGTATAATTTTCACGTTTCAATATACAAGTACTGATTACTATCTAAACCCTTACCATTTGAAAAGTCATTTCATGGACTCAGAGATGAAACAGAGAAAATGGGACATCAATCATAGTCTACTCTGATGATTTTCAAAATTAGCGTATTATCTTTCCAAGTTAGTATCACTGTACTCCTCTAAATGAGTACAATTGAGCCTATGATGGAGAACATACAATATGCTTCAAGGCTCAGGCTGTCCTTTAATCAGGATTGAGATTTCCAGTGCTCTTGACACAAAAGGGCAAATCAATCTTTACCTTACAACCAGAGGATCAAATAGAACATGCATGTCTGTGTTCCCATCTCAAGCTATTTGGGGGACATTTTCCAATCCAGGTCAATGTTACACTGGGCTCAGTTTTGCAAGAATGAAAATAGAGAATTACTGGGCATCTGTATGATTCTTATCTGTTAGATTTTTATGTCTCTCAGAAGTTTGTTGATCTTAACTTTTCATATTATTTCCGATTCGGCAGTTATCAAGCAAATGTCTCTGATTAGGTGTGCTATGTGCTTTTGTTATTCCCAACCCTCCAACTCTTACCCCCACTTTTACAGAAAGTCACTTCTGGTAACATTTTCCCCACTGAAATGGGGAAATTACTTTCTATGGCAACCACCAGCTCTCTCATCTTGACAATGAATCCAGCTTCATCTCATTGATTCTCAATTTATTCTTTCATTCCCAATATATTGTTCTGATTCAGTCTTTCTCACAAATGTATTACTCACACTGCAGTATCCTTTTCGTTGTACAATTTTGTCTATGTGATATCCATTCTTAACTCCATACATAGGTTCTCAATCTCTTTCTGTGTTAATTAAAATATTTATTAGAATTTACACCAGGAAATAAAGAGTAATGTATGCCAAAGGAAGAAAGAAAAGCAGAGTACAAGTTCAAAGCATTTACAGTCTTGGTATAAAAACTAGTTAATAAATAACCTCATTAGATGGACACCTGAATGGATGCTCGTAGAAACATATAACCATAGTCCCTGCAGGTGTTTAGGAAAGCTAAACCAGAGATTGAGATCACAGCAGCTCTCTGACTTTGCTGGTAGACTTCTGAGAACCTTCCCAAATGTTTTCCCAATTATGTCACACAATACTGCTCTTGAATGAAACCATCACAGATTGGCTTGGTACCATAAAACTGTGATACAAAAAGAAGGTTTTTAGTTCATTCAGAGGACTGATCATTCAGGCTGCAGAAGGCCATAAAGAAAGGCGTTACTCATTTGCCAGTACAGTCCTGACCTATACTTCCAATTTAGACTCAAGTCTAGTGTTCAGGATGCTGTAGTATAGATGATTTGTCCTGGAATTGCTTCTTCCTCTTTATCTACCTAAGTATAATGCTTAGTGAAATTCTGAATATTCTTGCAATAAATTTGAAACACAGACATTTTACTTTCATTTTCTGGTAAATACCTAGCATTTACATAGCTGTTAGAAGATGAAGGAGAGCCCAAGGCCTATCCCTTTTTCTCTCTGCTCACCAGCTTGGCTAGGTTAGAACTGTATATTTTATGAGTGTAGCTGAACGGCGTGACTCATTTTCTGGGAGTTGCTGCATGGTGAGCTGGTAGCATGTGGTTTAGCCTTTTCTCCCGGGATTCACAAAGCCTGGTCAGATAAGGCTGAAAGTACCAGGGCTGCAAGGCAGCACCAGTTGTTCTATGCATCCGCTCTTGATGTGAATTTCCATACTCCTCTGGGAGCAGGTGGAGATACTCTCTGTAACATGCTAAGGAGCAGTGAAGCATGAAGGTACCAGGAGGAAGGAAGGAGGGCTCGACACACCAAAGCAGAAAATCAGTGTATCTTAGGAGCTTGTGGAAAAAAAGAGAGGCGTGTTGACTGCAAAGTGTTCCCCCATCTACTCAGTAACCTTCCGACGGCAACAGAAGCAAATTGAAAGCCCAGATACTTGTCATCCAATGCCAAATACATCTGATAAAAGCTAGCAATATTGTCAAAGTAGCTATATACTTATGGATGCATGGATATGTAAATATATATTACTATATAACTCAAATAACACATTATTGCTCGATGATTCATAAATTCTCAGGATACCTGGAAAAATTATTGTTAAAAATTACCGCCACATTTCTTCCTCTCCCAATCCCTCCCTCCCTCTCTTTCTTTCTCCTTTTATGTTTTGTGAGGAGAGAATAGAATACTTACAAACACAGGGGACATCAAAAGTTCCTTCATAATATTAATCAAATCAAAGGCTTACTACAGTCTAGGAATGAATCTCAGAAGAGTCACTTCCACTACTTATTATTTTCCCGTATTCATTTTAAAAGAAAAAGATCTTATGAACTGCTGAGAAATTTTCTCTAAATCGAGATTTTTTTTTTTAACCCTCAGAGATTGGAAAGCAATGAACGAAATCACAATGATAAAATACAACAGCAAGTTAGAGAGGAGAAACCATGGCAAGATTCTAGAAAACACAGATTAGGAGAAAGTTTGAAAAACAAAATATAATTAAGTTATACTTACATTTAATTCAATGTGTGTGTGTGTGTGTGTATGTGCGTGCATGTGTGTGTGTGTGAATGTATGTGTGTGAGTGTGTGTGTGTGTGTGTGTGTGTGGTGTGTTTGTGTGTATATAGAGCTTTGCTCATCACAACTCAAAAGTCTGTAGGCATTTAAAATTCCAAGAAAGAAAATAACACTTCAATTTGCTGAGTCATTGGGTTTAATCGAAGCGGTCTTGAGAAATTGATTTTCCTAATATTTTGACTCAGAATCACTGGCCTAAGACAATGTCATCTCACTCTCACTTTGACTGAGAAGCAACAATGATGTGACAACCACCATCTGACCGGATATTTAAATGACAAACTTTATCCAGCGCTCAGCCTTTCCTCTATTTTATAAAGCACAGAAAGCTCTAGCTGGGGTTACCTGGTACATAGAAGCCCATTCCTTCCCAAGAGCAAGAATCACATTCTTTATGACACTGTCCATGTAAGCTGGACCTGATAAGCTCAGACCTAGTAGGCATCAACACCACAAGCCACATAGTATGACAGAAACGAACACCCACACCCACTTCATCTTCTAGAGACCACACAGGACAAAGCAAACAACAGATACAAACCTCGTGGAACTGCCTTAATTAAAAAAAAATCCGTCTCTCTCTCATTCTTTCTAGCCCAAATGCCTAACCTTCATGAGGAAAACACTGAAAAGATCCCCATTTTCTGGTTTTGTCCACCGGTGCCGCCAGGCCCAACGCTTTGCAGTGAGGCTGTGTGTTTTTCTGCAGATCCACCCTTGAATGCTAAGTAACTGCTCTGCACACGCCTCTCTCTGCGGAGCTCAGGGAAATGGCAGCCAGAGCAATGAGTGGTTGGCATGGCAACAAGAAGAAGAAGAAAATCTGCAACCTTTTGTATTGTTAGGTCTGCTTGTTTATTTGCCTCAGGGGCTGATGCGGAGAGCTTTAGTCATTTTGCTGGAGAAACGGCCCTGCACTATTTTGCTCTGTATACATTAACAAAGTATGCGCAATAGATCGTATTTTAAGGAGGATCTCAATTTAGAAATGGAGGCATGGAAGATAGAACGGTAACGAAAAGCAGTTTTCACTTTTCTAAGGTTGAAAAGGACGAACGGAGAGAAGGTTAGAGCTATCTGCTGTTTTCATATGAGTGATGACAACCTTGCCCCCATAACCCCATCCTGTGCTTTCCAGCTCCGCTATGTAATCTTTGCAACAATTAATGTATGTGTCTGGGTCGGGGTCTGTCTCTCATGGGGCTGCTTGAGCTATGGGGATGTTAAAGTGTAGAGAAGGCTCTACTGTCTCCTGGGTGGGGGGGCAGATCTAGAAATATAGACATGCCCGGGGAAGAAAAGGCATTGTAGGGAATAGTTAGGAGTAAGGTAAAGAAATGCCCTTTAGTTTTTATATTTACCCCAAGTGATATCCAAAAAAGAACCACTTCATCTCAGGACTTGTTTTGTCCAACCATCATGCCTGAGGCCTGTTGAAGTCACCAAAGTCTGCTTGTGAACACTTGCATATTTTGACATCTATAAATATCTTTTCCCCCCTCTGCCTCCCTTCTTTCTCCACTCAGGAGGAAACTGAGAATCACGCTATGATTTTATGCCATGCTCCAGGAGTGTGAATGTGAGTTCTGTAACAGAAATGTGCACTTTGCCTGCCGTGGATGGGGCCTGCTGCAGAGGGGCAGTAGAGGAGCTGTCTTCTATCAGACAAGAAGCCTGGACCAGGTAGTAAATGCTTTCAGGGGTTAACTACAACTGAGGAGGGTTAGATAGGAAAGCTCATCTTCTAGATTCCTTCCAAATAACTGTTGTATTATTTGAAAGTATGGCAAGGGAATGGCCAAATTCCATTAATGTTTTCCAATAAAGGACAAATGGTGAAATTTACAAGATTAATTCTGAGAGCCCCCCCCCCCCCAAATTAACTCTATTCTAAAGAAATCTTAAAAGCCTTGACAGTCAGCAGCCTGCTTAGAAAGTAAATAAATGACAAAGTATACACAAAATTTACACAGTCTTTTCTTGGGGAATGGACAAGTCAGAATGAAACCAAGTTGCACAGGGCTCCTGGCCATTGGGTTCTCAATTCAACACCCTCATAACCTAAATGAGCATCTCTGAATAACTGTTTTAATCAGACTGTGTCCTAATTTTCTTATTTGTAAATGGAAACACTAATGATAGATATCTTTGTGGACATACCAAAATGATAGAATGTGATCAAAGCCATGATGGTATACAAACTAAAGAGCCATGTTGAAGCCTGTGACGCTATACAAATTTTCAAGATGTGGTTCTAAGTAACAGTTGTCCTTCAGTGTCTTTGGGTGGGGTGATGGCTGAAGGACCCCTCTAACATCAAATTCTGTTCTTCAAGTCCTTACATAAAATGCCATGTTTACATAAAGCCTCTGCAATCCTCCTATATGCGTTACACCATCTCTAGACTGTGAATATTACTGGTTACCGTGTATAAATTCTTCGTTAATAATTGATATTCTGCATTGTGTAAGGAACAATGACTTGCAGGAAAACACAGTTATCCTGTCTGAACACAGGATATTAGAATTCTTTCTAATTCATTTAATTCACAGTTGGCTCTGTCCATGGATGTCAATAAGGATAAGGAGAGCAGGCTCCAGTGTTTCCGACTACCCTTGGGGAATGAAAAGGAGCCAGAGACTTTTCTATCCCTGGATAGATAATGGTATTCAGAGCAAGGTGAGGAATGCAGAATTAATACTTTGCAGATATGCCTTTTACAACCAGAAAACATTTTATCAAAATGATTTCATAATTAGACTCAGTAAGGGTAAGATTCAATACCATAGATAACAAGACATCAAATGAAGTGACAATCAGTTATATAACTGATAGTCACTTCAGGAGCACACTGACTACTGAAACCGTGTCTCCACATCCTTAAAGCATCACTTGAAAGGTAACTTTTAAAACTTCCACTTCCTACAATGATGTTCTGATCAAAGTTTTATAGACTTTTAGATACAAAGATTTATAGATTTTATAGATACAAATCAACTCTTTTCTGTATTTTTGCAAGTAACCTCATACTATTTTAATATGAATTCTAATGTAACAATGAGTCTTGTTCTTGGATAAGAAACTTATAGATGAGGTGTCTAGTTGTCACTCAGATGTGGAACTCTGTGGGGACCAAAATGTATTTCTTTTGCTTTCTTCAACAAAATGCAAAGGAAAGGAATGGATTATTATAAGCCATTTTTTTTTCTTCTCAATTATCCTTTGGAAAACAATTTAAAAAGAAAAAAAAACTACCCTTTGGTTAGGCGGCTTGATTCTGAATAGCTTCACATGTTTTTACATGTCCCTATGTGTCCTTTAAAAAGGTCAAAGAAATAAAGCATCAAAATTAGAGTTGAGAAAATAATTCCACCCATCTTTCCATGGGCATGCATTTACACTGTATGGCAGGAGACAGCATCTAGACAAGGGTAAAGCAGTACAATTAAAATATTATTCCCTTCTAACAGATCCTGCTTTCCAACACTGGTCTCAGTGCACAAGAACAATAATAAGCTGATGATGGATGCTCATCTTTAAAACGTCTCAAATGAAAATGAATATTCAAATGGTGTGTGAGAGAAGGTAGGACAGGAGGCTGAAGGAGGCCCAGTGTTAGGAAGACATGATACTTCTACTGTGTAATCCTGTTTATAGAGATATACAAACAAGCTCAGGGGAAAAAAAAAACTTCTGGAAATGAAGAGACAACCATAGCCAAGAAGAAAGCAGAAAAAACAGTTTTGAGTCAATTTGAGGAATTTCCTGGCTACTACAAGCATAGCCGAGGACCTCCTTCCCCTGGGGAGTGCTTTACGTGAACAGTTTTGCTTTTGAAGGTTATTTTTATGGGGGAAATGCAATATACTTCTGCACTGCAGGTGAGTGAAAAGAAGAATGAACTCTTTGGTCCTTGAAATGTTCACCTCCAAATATAACGCCAGTTCCCAGAAGGTCACCATCCTCAAAGCATAGCATTTAGAAAATTCCATAGTGAGATTTAAGAGGATTTGCTTATACAGGTGATGATTTACAGCACATTTTTAAGGAAGTTACCCATAAAACATCAACTAGAACAGTTATTTTTTATTAAACTTGTTTGGAAAGAAGCTGACTGCGTACTAACTTATCATTGGAGCATCCTTTGTAAGTATGAGGAAACCAAGTTTTACATTCCTTCTCTCCCTACGGCTTTCCACACTTGCACATCTCAGGGATTCAATAATTGGTCTGTTATTTTTAGAAGGAGTTAGTTTAAAAATCACACCATAGTTTAGATTGAAAACATCACTATGGCAACCCACAGATGATGCTGTACCACCTCTGTCACTGTGAGCATATGTATGAACACTGAGAAATCAATTTCTGCAGGATAACATAAGACTCATTTAATACATGCTGAGATGAGTCCACCATAAACACTGGATGTTCCTGACACCATCACTCAAAAGAAATACCAGTGAGTTGAATTTAATTTATATTATCTTCTCAAGGAAGCTGGCAAGTACACATTGACCTGACAAATAGATTTTTCTGATGCTGTTAAATACTTCATTAAGACCCCTGAATAAATAGAATATTAAATGATACTAGTTGTCCATGGCTTGAACAAGCATACTATACACAGTGATTTTTTTCTATATTGCATTGTATTGCTCCATGGTAGTCATGTGTTGAGTATTGAAGAGACCAAGCTAGACTGGTATGGTGGTGCATACATATCTGTAATCCAGCCACTTGGGAAGCTGAGATAAGGGGATAACCTTGACTTTAAGTTGAGTCTGGACTATACAGCGAGTTCAAGGCCAGCTTGGGTTACAGAGTGCTACCCTGCTTAAAAACAAAAACAAACACCAAAAACAAACCAACAGCAATGCAACAACAAAGGTCTCTAAAATCAGGGGACAAAAGTATAGTTTTCAAATTAACTTGAAAAAGACTGTCTTTGCCTTTGCCTGATCATTCAGTCATCGGCCCAACACACATTTATTGAACACTGCAGCTGTAAAGCCAGGGGCTGCAGGATGAGATGCACCATTATCTCTTTCCTTCCTTCTAACCATGATGCTGTAGCTGGTGTTCATCCCCTTTTGCCTCAAACCTATCAGGGTCCTTTCAGTGGGGTTCCCACCCTCATTAAGTTCCACTGTATTCAGCCAGAGAGCAAAAGTCCTTGTTCAAGGCTGTCACCGCCACTGCCACCCACAATGATGGTAGCTAATAGACACTATGTCTTGGAGCACTGGCTTTATACACTTTTTACTGTTTTATAATCATCACTGCAACCATGGAAGGCAAGCGTATCTTCATTCCATTTCAATCACAATGTCTTATTAAGATGTCTGTCTCCCTGGAGCACTACACAGCTTCTCAATTTCCTGGTTCAGTTAAGAGATAGTGCCATCCTCTTTTCCCATGCTCATGGAATTCTGCAGGGCCTTTATGGAATTCTCAGAGGCCTTGCAGCAGAGCAACTGGAGAAGACTGAACTTAGTGAAGAAGACACACAGTCTTTAAGAGGGAGACAGAGTGTGCTAATGGTGAAACAGAACCACCACAAGCTAATGGCTTCTATAGTGTTTGGCTTCACTGAATAGATATACTATCTTGCTATATCCCTGGGAATTTATTTGGCACTTCAGGACACATTTGGGAAAATTTGTCCTAAGTAAAAACAATCCCACTTAAATGTTGCCTTTCCATACTTCTCATTTGGCACTTAACACCCCATGATTTGTATGCAAATTAATTTACATAGAGGTCATATGCCATGAGACCTTGGATTCATGGAGTCTGGGCATAGGATTTTGTATGGAAGCTAATACAACACTTAGTATGTAGAAAACACCCCAATAAACTTGTGTTTAAAAATTTATACTGTGTATTATAAATTTTCTTCTGTCACTTAAAATGTCTTCACTATTTCCTCATTAAAATCAAACATGCATATATATGTATATACATGTTTACACATGTGTATACACACACACACACACACACATAATTTGTACCAAGAACCTTGTGCATGCTAAGTATGTGCTCTAACACTGAGTATACCCCCATACCTTATATGTAAGGTATTTTGACCAGAGTGTATAGTGGATAAACATCACAGTTTAATTGATGTGGCACAGAAATCGATCTTCAAATAAGTAAGGGATGGCTTTGAAGAGGACAGTGCAGCTGCCTCTTTATTCGACTACTTGCAATTTGTTCAGTTTTTTGAAGAAGCAATCCGCTGTCTGTAAGTTCTAATAGAGAAACTTCTGAATATCAGAAAAAAAAGGAAATGGTTGATGAAGAATGCTATATTGTAAGGTAATGTTTCTTTTCATTTATACTTTATACTTATGGGTCCATTTAGGATAGTATCAATGAGAGTACTTTAAAAAGAAGTACGCAAGAGTTAGTTATATTGGGGGCTGGAAAGATTGCTCAGTACAGCACTGATTGCTCTCCCAGAGGACCCAAGTTTATTCCCAGAACCACATGGTGGTTCACAGCCATCTGTAACTCCAGTACCAGGGTATCCAATGCCCTCTTCTGGCCTCTGTGGGCACAGCCTGCATGCGGTACAAACATATATGCAGGTAGAATACTCATGTACATAAAACAAAAATAAAGATTAAAAGTAAAAATTATCAGTGATATCATATTGTTCTTTCAGCCTCAGGGTATTGATTTTTAGAAAGCCGAGAAACAGTGAAAGGCCCCTGTATTTGAACATGCATGCTCATCCCCCTTCTCCTCTCTCCTGCTTCTTTGGAAGGCTGATGAGATGGTTGGAAGTTCTTTCTACACTAAAAAGAAATATGCTACTAATCAATCCATTGGACTTAGGCCCAATGTGACTCAAGGTAATAAGAACAAAACATTGTTATTTTTTTTCTCCAATGGGTTAAAATACTGACAGTTCATGGCAAAATATACATACGCTGAGTATTTTGCCTATAAAGATTAGGGTAGTAAAAACTAAGGTGAGAAACAAGATCAAGACGACAACCAAGTTGGGGGAAGTCAGGCTAACTGCCACGGGGCTTGATGCTTGATTTGTTAGGGCACTGACTTCTCCTGACCACTCCAGTCCTTGCAGAGTGAAAGGGCCAGCTGCTGCAAATTAATTCACTTTCAGAGTAACCGGACTACAAAGCACAAAGAAATTCTGGCGGCCGGCCCTCAGTTACCTGCTGTTTCTCTGTCGGCCGAGGTCAGCTCTCCGTTGATGCCGTTCTCTTTGGTATCTGAATAGGCGCCCTGTGACCCGTGCTCCCCAAAGGCGCCCTCCTCCTCCTCTCTGTATGGAAATCCATTGGCGCTGCGGCTCAGCCCTTCCCCTGCCCCGCCTTGGTCCTTCATCTCTGGAGGGTGAGGGTGTGCAGCTGCCTCGGTCAGTGAGGCTGACGTCCAGTGTGGCGCCTTTCCATCGTCTTTCCGCTCATCAGCCATCCTTCAGAGCTTTGTACTGTCTCCTGAAGACAGAATGTGTATGTGTGTTAGTTATTACTTTGGGCAATCTCCTGATCTAAAAACGCATCAGTAGTAAAGTAGAGGAAAATTTGAGGTCAAATCAGTGGCTTACTTTATCGATAACCATTCTTTAAAAAAAATTAACATGTTACCAACACAATTTTTACCTTTATATTGTTTTTGCAAAGAATTTTTGCAATGTTCCATGAAATCATATATATTTTTAACGCCCCCCAAAACAACAACCGTACCTCAGGACCCATCTTAACCAATGTCTTTGACATCCAGTCTAAATATTGACGCATTAGTCAAAGAATTGTGTATGGGGGAAATTTGCAGCATGAGAAAAAGAAAAAGGCAGGAAGGGGAATGTCTAGAGGATATTAGATTATCAGATAAACTCAACTACCCTTTAAAAATACAACTTCCAAGAGAACCTGAAGAGAAAATGGTCAGTACTTTCATTTCAAAAGTATTCACATCAAGCCACTTAGATATAGTTTTCTGAGTACTATGTATGTATTATGTAACGAATGAAGGTTATTGACTAAATTTTTCAATAAACATTTCTTAACTCTACCTATAATACAAGAGGATCTGACATTTTTCTACAAGCCCAAATCTTACGGATAAAAAAAAACCCAAAAAACGAAAACAATAGTATTAGAGTTACGTTGTGCTTAATGATCTCATTTCACTACTAAGTCAAGTAGGATCTGAAAATGCTACAGCGTTGACGTGAGCGAGGAAGCTGTGAATTACAGCAGAGGATGGATTCACTGTGGAGGAGGCATTTTCTTAACCTTAAGTGAATGGAAGATACCGTATGACCTTCTCTTCCATGCGGATGCTACTAAGTTTGGAGATGTAACTGACAGGGTGATTCACCCCTCCATTTGGAAAGCTCTTGCCGGTGATGTAGTTTTATTGATGGCTTATCGTTCCCACACAATGGATGACAACATACGTAATGACTCTCTCTAATGGAAACCAAGAGCACTATTTTTTTTTTAAGAGTAACCAAGGTGAAGACTTCCAAACAAACCAAGGCAGTGTTTGAGAGAACCTACTTCTTACTATTAGCTGTTTAGAGATCCCACATATAATCTAAACTGTTGTGGATCCAACTTTCCTACCAGATTTCCAAGAACCAGTTGTTTGTTTCTCAATTTATATTTACTTATTATTTGTGCGTGTGTGTGTGTGTGTGTGTGTGTGTGTGTGTGTGTGTACATGCATGCATGTGTCAGCGTGTTCATGTATATGTCAGAGCACAACTTTATGGAGTTGGCCAGTCCTCTCCTTTCACCTTTATGTGGGTTCTGGGGACTGAACACAAGTTGTCAGCCTGTCTCTGTTGACTAACAAGCACTTTCACTTGCTGAGTTATCTTGCTGGACCTGCTTCTGAATCCAATGCTGTTCTTCGCTTCCTATGCTTTTTACTCATATCAAAAAGAATGAGACCAGTCCATTCATCTCAACTAATCATAGCACCGGAGAGCCTCCCCAATTGTTTCCAAAAGTATTCTGTTTAATCTTCCATAAAACCATATTTAAACAGCATATACAGAGCTTAGCTCTAAAAACATAGACTGAAGAACTCATGAACAAACTAGGAGTATCTACATCACCTACAACGTGCAAGGACTTTTTTCCAACTATTCCCAGTGTGACTGATTACAAAATTAAAGCGAATAATGCAAAGGAAAAGTTAATAGTTACATTTGTTATGGTTATAATTAGCCCACCCCTTACTGTACCACCAGTCATTACACGTAATCATTTTAAGTCGTTTTACCACAATTTCTGCTGAAATAACAGGAACTTGGAAACTTGGTCAAGCACATGAACTAGAGTTACTTGTAAATCTGTCCTGAGTTATCACCAAGGACTGAATAAGCATGCCCAGAGGTATGGCAAACAGCCTAGAATGGAACCTGATGGGAAGAATGTACCCTCAGGACTAACATCCCTCTGTGTACATATGAGAAACTAAATGTGCCCATTTTATAAAAGTGATCCAGCAACATTCTACCCCCCATTCCATTCTGCACTGTGTACCAGTCAAATATCAAATTACCTGATAGAAGAATCTAAACACTGTGCTTTTTAAATTGTTATGGTACCTTCACACATCTTAGAGATGAAGTAAAATATCCAGATTCAAATAGCCACCTTCTGGATACAGAGCTGTTCTCCATAGCATCCGAATCTCTGTGTGCCTCAATGTCCTTTACTATTCCTGATCAAAATTTCCATACTCTTCTTTGGCCCAATCTCTTTGTGTGTGTGTGTGTGTGTGTGTGTGTGTGTGTGTGTGTGTGTGTGTGTGCAGAGCAAATAGTGAATATAGGAAAAAACTTACGTAAAGCCTATTCATTTTTCAAAAAGATACATTAGCAAAGCCTGGACTTCTTTATGTAAGTTTTTGTGATTGTGGGGCATCTTCTTGATTGTTAACTGATGTAGGGGGGTTCAAGTTCACTGTGGGCAATGCTACCCCAGGGCAGATGGACCTACACTGTGTGAGAAATGTAGCGGGGCAACAAAGGTGAAGCAAGCCAGTAAGCAGCATTCCACCATGGTTTCTTCTTCCATTTGTCCCCACTTCCAGGTTCCTGCCTCTGCTTTTCTTGATGACGTTCTGTCAGCTGTAAGAAGAAATAAACACTTTCCTCCCCAAGTTGTTTTTGCTCAGAATTTTATCACAGCAAGAAAAATTAAACTAGGGTAGCAAGGAAACAGTTTGAGGAAAAACTCAAGAAAAACTCAGTTCATGACTTTAAAGTGAGTGTATTCCAATTTTCAATTACTTAGACTTTTTTTTAATCTAACATGTTAATTAATATATGCCCCTGCAGAGTAGTTTTGTAGCTTATGGGTAGGTCTTCCCATTATCAGTGCTGTTCCTTAAATTTTTTTTTACAGTATTGAGATTATCTTATATTTAAATACATATTTTAACATTTTTCTAGGCTTAAGATTACACTCTGTGCTTCAAAACTTGACCAGTTTGCTCAAGCATCTGTCTGGGTGTGGTAAAAGGATTCATGTTTTTGTGTTTGTGAGAAAAAAAATTAGACCTGACCACAGGCAGCCCAAATATCTGTCTCTAAATATGATAAATTACTATTTAAATATTGTTTTATTACATTATTGACTCTTGCAGTAAGGATCTATACAATAAGAAAACTTTCATTGAAATTTAGAAATAAAATATTTTACTTATTTCTGATAATTCTTAGTTTACCAGACTATCTATATATCCCACAATCCCTTTGTCAAGAGTTTAATGTTTTCCTCCTGCATTCCCCAATTTTAAGTTGTTGCTATTGGTTCTTTATGATGACTAATTGGTAACATTTTTCAAATCTTTTCTGAAATCAAGTAGGAGCTATATAATAAGAAAATAATAATTGTCACATTACCTTTCAACACTTTAAGGCATGATTTTTATGAGAAAGTCACGTGCTACTCACCTTACAATAAATTTCTATTCATGTATAAAAAGTGTATTAGACATAAAACAGAATCAATTAGTCTTTTCTATAGAAAAGTTTGTGTAAAACTTTAATAATTTAGATTGTTCAGATAGATTATAGGTGAGTACACTCTATCAGAAAAATGTGCTTTCTAGAAAAAATTTTTAGTTTTAAAATATAGTTTTGTTCATCTTTCTTGGAATATTTAATCATTTTCCACACAAATATTGCTGATGACTTTAGATGACAACTTTTGATAAATGACCATTGATTTATGTTGATGATGGCAGATTAACATGTTTTCATTCTTTATGAAACTAGATGTGCAAATTAAAACACACTGCACTTATCACCTGGTTTAAAATACAGAGTGTTTTTCTGCCCCTCCATCTAGTATCAGAATGCTTGGATCCTGCACATGAAAAAGATTGTGTGTATGCTTTGATGATTCCTCCATTATCTGTTCCTTAGAAAAAGTAACATATATACATAAAATGTATAAAAAGTGGTTCCTTAGTTCCTATGTCCTTGGACTGTGTAGAAATGAGAAAACAGGATACAGCTGTCACATTGCTGCCATTGTTTAAGGAGAAACACGAAAGTAGAAACGACAGGAGACAATCCTCCAAACAGTTCTGACATCTTTCTGGGCTACCAAGGACTGTTTTCTCCAAGAAAAATCTAGGGGTAAGATTCAAATCACGTCACTTTATGGAAAAAGAAGTCACTCTCTCATTTTTCTACCTGCTTTCTTAATGATTTGGTGTTTTCCCTTACCCTCCTTTCCACGGGTAAAAGAGGTTCGTCAAAGATATACATAACTGATACCTTACAGGAAAGTAAAAGCCAGCAGGTATCAGAATGTGAGTTTCAAATAGTTGTTTACTGTTGACTGGGTTAGTCCTCAGCTACCAACCATGAGGCAAACACGAGGAGAAAGTTTCCATGAGAGATGGATGTTTAGCCACCATTAGATCAAGAGAAAAGAACTTCGTTTTGTAGCTGTGGACGACGGTGGAGGAGAGGCAACTGAAGTTCTAACTCCATCTAAAGCGCATGTAGTAGAACAAACGGAGAGACCTAAGCAAGACCGAGTACATATAACAGAGCATGAGAGAAGAGTTTAGAAATATCCCCACAATAAAGTATTATAATCCATCTCAGGAAAAAGTCTCAAAATTATGAAAATGAAATGCTCTTAGGTGATCAACTGTTCCAATGCATCCTCAGATATTTTCAACACACCCCCTCTAAAACAGATGTAGTAAATCAGTTCCTTGGGGGGGCGGGGCTTGCAAATTAGTCTTTTTACTGGTGACTGTGACAAAGCTTGAGGACTAGTGTTTTCAGACAAGCCAGTCACTTCAGGAAAGGGCAGTGAGGGGCAAAATTTCAGAGAAGAAATATCACTGCAGAGTGACCAAAGGAAAGGGTGGAGTCAAGTATGTTGAGAGGACACACGACCATTCTTATAAATAGATGTGCTTTTCATGTCCATTGCCCAGAACTTTTATGATG